CAACAACCTTAAATAATCTTTGTCAATTTTATTTTTCAGTCTTTATGATGGTCGATACTTGATCTATCTCTTACTGTTATATCCCCGGGCAACGTCGGGCTCTACTGCTAGTAACAAATATAATGTAAGTAAACTTTATATTTTTTTCTTTTTTATATTTTTTTTAACTCCCCAGTAATATTAAAATTTAAAATCTAATTTTACTGGATTTTAGATATATTGGCTTTAGTCATACTTACATAGATGCTTGTTGAAGAAATGTTAAAAAATTATCAATAAATTTTAAATTTACTATAGTTACCATTCTTATTTTCTGATAATGGTATGGTTGACCGGATTTACAAAAATAGGCATATTTATATACACACACAAAAAAAAAAAAAAAAAAAAAAAATCAAAATTCTTTTTTAAAATACTGGAAGTTGCTGAATTGAAGTAACCTTTTCCATTTACGATTATTATAGTTTTTATTTAATAATATCACTTAACCACTACAAAAAGAGAATTTTAAAAGTTTATAAATCATTATGAAAACAAATTATTCACTGAAAAAAAAAAAAAAAAAAAAAAAAGTGTCCTTAATATATTTTTTTATTTAAAAGGAATTAAAGGGTTTTTCTAATAAAGTCCGAACCAATGTAGAACAGATTCACTGCAAAAAGACGATGGGAAATTTGACGCCAGAGAAACAATATTTTTAACCAAAATTCCGAAGGTTCTAAAAAGAATTTTAAAATAATTTTTACAAAAAAAAATTTTTTTTTTAAATTCAGTTTTTCCTGCTAATAATACAAGAAAAAAAATTGACGATAAAACTATTTTTAAGTTTTTTTTTATCATGCTTGCTCATTTTTTTGGGAGGTACATGAGGGCTGATGTGTGTCTTCCTCACCGACACCCTTGTCATTTGTGAGCAACCAAATATGAAGAGAATGATTTATTTAATAAAAATTAATTTCGTACGTAATACAAAAAAAACAAAAAAAACATGTTTACTTATGTTTGTTGAACAACACGCCAAATTTAGCTTTGTTTTACAATTAAAAACTAATCGAAAAGTTAGTGAAAAACTTCTTTATCGATTTTCATGACGGCAATTTGGCATGAAGCCGAAGTTTCCTCTTCAAATTTCACCAACAACTACACAACGAATAAGACTACAATATTTTTTATGCAATGAATCCTAAGGCAAGTTATACCCATGGTCTCTTACCATTAGATTTTAACATTCCGATTCCAAAGCGTGGAACAAAACATGTTTGAGTTTGCGAGGAGACAAATAAATATACACAAATTAAAAGTTTCAGATAAAATCTAAGAAAATTTCTTAGAAAGGAATTTCGCTAATTTTGAACTTTATTTTTTATTGATATGGTAATTCGTAATTCACAGAAAAAGAATTCTCATCTCAAGAAGCAAATAAGTTTGTCTGTATTATTTTATTTGTTGTTTTATTCGTTTCTGTTGACCAGTTGGTCAGTACCAATTTCAGAGCATTTCCCAATTGTTTTAAAATACCAGTAGTCGGTTGACACTACCAGAGAATACAATTTTGTTTTGATAAACGTACAAAAAAGTAAAAAAAACAAATTTTTGATCGTTTTTCTAATTTTCTTCTAAAAACATTCAACTTTTCAGATAAATGATGGACTCCGACTTGGGACTGTCATTCATTCATTCATTCATTGATGAGTCAGAGTTGAAACGAGGAAAAAAGGGAAGTAAGTCTATTTTACAATTTCATAGCACATGACTATTTGATTATGTCATAGGTGTCGGCAACAAACGTTTCAGATCTTTACTTCCGTCATATATATTTAAGAATAAAAATAAAGTAGGAATTTAAAAAACAAGCAAAAAACCCTTCGAAGTGATATTGCCACTTAAAAGGTGAAGCAATTGGTGGTCTTTCGCTACTACGGCAATGGATCTTGTAGCTCCATTCATAAAGCTACAAGCAAGAGTTACTCTCGTCATGTTTTTAAACGAGTAATAAATCAATACACGAGAAAAATGTGTGTGAGCAACTATAGGATTTTCTTTTTTGTAAAATTTAGCGTTAGAGCTAATTTAACCGAAACATAATATATATATATATATATATATATATATATATATATATATATATATATATATATATATATATATATACACACACACACACACACGATTATCAGCAGTTAGAGTCAGTAGACTACACACAAGAAGCCATTTTTCAGATTGGGTCAGTGAGATGAGAGTCAAAAATAAAAAAATAAAAATAAAAAAATAGTAATTTGTGTTTTTGTGGGCCTAAAAAGACATATTCCATTACTCTCACAAATAATGACATTAAAAGAAAATTAAATGGAAAATAATGTAAAATCTGTAATTGTTTTGTTAGGATCAAGCAATTCAAGAAAAATGGTTAATTTTTTTTTCTCACAGTGAGTGAATGGAAATTTGGACGGAAGGTGTATGTGAATCTCTAAACAAAATAGCCAGTGACAAATTCTCATCATAATCAAGGACTTGGGAAAATTAAGCCATAACAAAAGCTTATGCTTTTTCAATTTTATCTTAGGATTTCTTTTTCTTGAAATTGTCATGTAAACGTACAATACACACCAATACGTGTGCTAAAAAGTGAGTGACTAAAATAAGACGTCAATATTACCTGCACTAAACATAAAATAGGGAAATTTCTATTGACAATAAACAAAATAAACTGCTAAAAACGAAAAAAAAAAAAAAAAATCAATTTGAAAGTGGCAAACAGAAACCGAGATATAAACAATATTTTTCAGTGAAGAGATTTGTTCATCCTATTTTTAAAATCTTCATTTTTTTAAAAAAATATTTGACTAGTATTTGCCTTTTTATTTTAAAAAATATTTTAGAAGAAACTGATTAAGCAAGCTCAAGCAATTTTGGATCAAATTCGAAATAACATCACATTCATTACTCTGGAAACTTATCCTCAGGTGGTGTGTAATTCAAATTGTGAAAGACTGGAAAAAAATTTAAATAAAATTAAAAATAACTGGAGTTAGTGTTTCTTTAAATGTTATTTTTATTTAAACCCAGGATTTCAAAAGAAAGTATTAATTTGAAATTAAGAACAGTACTATTTCTTTATTCGATTTATTATTTGCTTCATATCAGAAGCTCAGGAGAAAAATTGTACAAAAAAAAACAAAAAAAACTGGTAAGAAGTTTAACCGTAAACCAAATTTTGTAATGTTATTAAAATTCTTGATGCAGTGAAAACAATTGCTAATCTCAATTTGTAAAGAAAGAAAAAACAGTCATTAAAAATGTTATAATATTTCTACTAAGTCAAGGCTTTGGGACGTTTTTTGTTGTGATTTTTTTTTTTTTAAGGAGAAAAAAAATGTAGGCAAAAGAGTTTTTTTTTTTTTTTTTTTTTTCGTTAAATTTTCTTGTCTCATCGCGAAAAAAGGAAACTTTTCCCGACAACAATAACCAGTGGAAATGATCGATGATGAGACAGGGGGGGTCATCAAACAATACAATGTGGGTAGGGACGAACTGGAAACGAGAAATTGCAGCACACACTCAGGAGGAAACATTCCTACACTTACGGGTGGAGATGACGGGTTTCATTCTAAAGCAAGTTAAAATAGAAAAGAAAAAAGGTTTCATACAGGTGGTAGCTCCCATTTAAATTCTGACAGGTAAATCAGAAATACCTTCCGAATAAATATGAAAAAATAATAAAAATCAGGTATCAGAGTGAGTGTTTGTTTTGTTTTTTAATTAATCCGATTGTTTAAACGTGGTGTTCACCTTTTAAAAGGCTGTTCAATTGGATTTCTCATGCTTTTCTTCATATATCAACGAACATGTTTAACAATTTTTAGCCAACAAATTACATTAGAAATCTATTTTTAGGGGGTGGCTGTTATAAAATGTAAAATCAAGGTGGGCGGGTTGATTATTAACAAGCAATTCATTTAGGAAGAAAATCAAAATTCAAAACAGGTACAAACTTATGAGGCTCAGATAATAAAAAAAGAATTTTCTGCATAAAAACTAAAAATCAAAGGATTTTTTTTTTCAGTTAGTAATTTTAAATTTCAACTGTTATTTTGTAAGTTTGTTACTTTCATCGTGTATGCGCCGATGAAGTTGAAAATAATATCAGCAGATCATGCCCCGGGGCGGAGGGTCCATCCCCTAGGGAGGCAGTACCTACTTTGCTGAATGGGGCTTTCAGCAATTTTTGTACGGCTTTCTTTCTGGAGATCCCACATCAAATTCCGACCTTGTGTCACATTCTGTTGTGACGTGGGTGCGCTGATAAAAATACCTACTTTTATTTTATTTTTTTTAACTTTGAAAAAGGTTAGTTAGAAGTTCAGGTTTGTTTCAAACAACTTAAAATTTTGAATAGACTTTTTTAATAACTTGAGTTAATAAAAGGAAAGAAAATCTAACTTAGGACTAGAAAAATAAAATGGAAAACATTCTTCAAATTACAGGTGTGTAAATAAATAAAAAGAGAATTCGTGTAGCAGTGTATGGGAGTTTCTTAGAAATTTTCACATTTTTTTAGTTAGTTTATAACTCTATTATGATTTATTTATAATTAATAGAATATAATTTATAAATAATCAAAGTTAAAAAGTAAGTAGCAACCAATTTTTACCAATACTTATTAACTTAAGAAAAAAATAAACTCTCATCAAAATAACAAAATTTTAAGAAGAATCTTGCTCAATTAATAAACTAATTATAAAACTTGCTTTCGTTTATTTAAAAAATAATCATTTATTTTATTTTTTATTGTATCATTTTTTAAGAAATCGGTTTAAAAAAATCGAAGTATTCTTAAAATAAAAAAAATATTGCACACCTGTAGTGTACAACGGTTTTTTTTTTAAACTTAAACTAGTATAATTTAATTTCCAATTTATACAACCAAATAAAAAAAAGAAGTAATCTTGAAAAAAAAAAAAAAAAAAAAGTAGAAAATCATTAAAAAAAAATTAACTCACCAACTGAAGTACGAATATCACCATAATAGCAGTACTGGTAGGAGATAACGATGAACACCTTCCACTGCCCATGTTTAATTTTGTTGGTGGGAAATGAAAAGATTATCAATAATAACAAGAACAACCCTCAAGGAGGCCAGCTTTGGAAAAACGTACAAGTGGTTGTAAATATCTTTAAATCCTCAGCGCAAATTCCACCTTCTCTCCTTTTTTGCGACTAGTGATAATGCCGCTGCGACCAGCACAACAACATAATGGTCGTCTGCAACTGCCAGCCGTAGAAATAAAAAAGAAAAGCGTGTGTATGTATGTATATATATAATAATAATCATAAACTAGAAGGAGTAACAAGTTGTCACGGCCATCACCATCCACTTGCGGCTCCCAACAGCGGGGAAACCAACTCACACACTGCGCACAGCAGCTGAAACCAATGCTTGCTACTACGACCAAACAAGTAGTCACATCACAGACAAACGATTAACTACTTGATCAAAAATCAAATATCGCAATAAATAATTGATTTAAAAATGATATTATCAATAAAATATATTCATTTTCTTTTTCTTATTTTTCAGTAATACATACATAATATTACTCTATTGTGTTTTTTCTCAGGTACGAAACTTTGCGTATTAATACTAAATAAAGGACCCAAAACATCCGGTCGGGGTTTGAATAAGATTTGAGCTTGGATATATTTTTTTTAAACGCGGTGTTGAATTAAGCCCCCAAAATATAATAATAATAATAATAATAATGAATAAGAAGATATTTTAAATTCTTCTTTTTATTACTTAACTTAAACTAATTAAAAAGTCAAATTCCAATCTAAAATATAAAAATTTTAAAGTGAAAATTACGCATGGTTCACAGCAGCGAGGCTGAGTGTTCAATGACTTAGTACCGTTGCACTTGCTACTTGCATGCATATATACACACACAAAAAAAAGAAAAAAACTACTATCCGTGCAACGGAATATGTTAGCTCTATCACGGTTATTGAGCACTTTCCACTAAGTATCGCGCATAAAAATATATATTTTATTTTTTGGGGTTCAATGAGATAGCAAGGGACTGAGTAAAGAGCTTTTGAAGTACCAATCCGAATATTGTACTTATCTTCTTATTTCAAATTAACAGAAAATAAATGAAACTGATTTCAAAGCAGAGTTTATGTCGAACCTGAGTGCGTTGCGATGGCCGGGAGGTGGAGGGGGGGTTCTATGATCGACATTCACGACGTCTTCCTCAATTTTGTGCGTGGAGGTTTGGTTCACGGGTAAAGAAGAATCTGACAGGTGGATTGTGATACAGTTTTAAGAAGAGAATAAGAATATTAATTTCAATCCAGAACAACAGTGTCTTTTTTTTTTTCTTCCTAAGTTCATCAATCAACAAACATTTTGAAATATGTCCGAGACGCACGTGATAAACAATTCTTTAAAAATTAAACCAGATGCCGGTTGGATTAACAACAAGTAAAATAAAATAAAGGGGGAAACATTTTTGCATTACAAATTTATTAGTAAATTTAAAATCCCAAATATTTTTTAACACAATGTTCAAATCAATTTATTCAATTCTTTTAGTTTTCAAGCAAGCAGCGTCTTCATTTTTCAAGTTATTTTCTTTGATAAATTTTGAAAAAAAATCTTGAAAACATGTTCATAAAAGTAAAACAATTATTATGTTTAACTGTTTAGGGCTAGTATAAAAAATAGTAGAAATAAAAATAAAATCAATAAAATTTTCATTTTATTTTTATTTATTTAATACAATGATACATGCTTCTTTGCGCGATGCAATCAATGTGCCGGTCGGCCGTCTTTCATGCGAAGAAAGAAATAGAAATCTTTCGTTCGTCATATGTTAGAAATTCTGAGTAGTATTTTTTGGTTAGCCTATTTATTTATTTAATGTTATCCAAACTGTTGTCTTCCTTGTTGAATTAACGTTTTTTAAGCCAATGAGGTGTATATGTGTAGTTTGGTTAATTAACTCACCCCGGCAAGAAAAAGGACTTTCCACGTGATTTTTCCCAAATCTCCCCTTATTAAAAAAAAAAAAAAAAAAAAATTAGTGACTGCACAGTAGGCCGTTTTTTGTTTGTTTTTGTTTTTTAACACACTCTTCAATATTTTAAATATGCCTTTGGTAGAAAAAAGTAACATAGAGAGAAAAAATACAAAACAAAAAAAAAAAGCTGATGGCTCATCATACCGAATGCAAGTTAGTTTGATTATCCCAGGTTCCCCATAGTGTCGTTTTTGTAAGTTTGTTAAAAAAAAAAAACAGCCCAAACAAAAACAAATATTTTAATAAATATTTCTTTACTCTTTAACTTAAGCGAAGTCTAACTGCCAAATAAAATAAAAATCACAACTGGGCTACTAATGGTAGTAGTCTGAATGTTTTTCTTTTCTTTCTTTTTTTTTTTTTTGCATGTTTGAGTTTGCTGTTTGATACTTTGATTTTCCGTTAAAAAATGGCTTTAATTGCTACAAATTAATAAAAATGAAAGTTACTATTTTTTACGAATTTTTTTTTTTTTTTTTTGAATAATAAATAATTATTTTTATTATTTTCTTCCACGGAAGTTTGAAAGAGAGCAAATAATTAACTTTTTAAAACTGACAAGCAATTTAGTTAATTATGAATCTCACGTACACTGTTCTTTTTTTTTTTTTTTAATTTAAAAAATTTCAAAACTATGTTCCACCAAAGTAAACATAGAAAACCATTAAAAAAAAACTTTGCTTTTTATTATTCAAGGGGAATAACTAAGATTTAAAAAGTAGTATCATATGCGTCTTTCTTTGTTAGTACCGCATGGGTGTTTCAGAAAGTATGGCCATGTACTTGTTAGAAAATTGGACACACCTTGACATAAAACTGTTTGAATGATATTAAAAGGTTTAATAAATTCTCATAGCATTGATATAATTAAAAATGAAAAGTAAAGGATAAAAATCTGATATAAATTGTCTTTCCTTATTTGATGTTGAAAGTTGCTTTTTTGACAGTAATTGTTTGATAATCAATTGTTAGAAAATCAATTGGAACATTCAATACAAAAATATACACTAGTATTTAAAAAATCCACCAAAAATCGAATAATTAATGGATTTGAATGAATCTATTGATATTTACTCAGTGAATACTGAAGTACTAGGAGACAGTTTGTTGTGGAAATTTGAATTTCTCCATTTTATTTGTTTATTCTTTTAAGATTTCAATTCAATTCACTAGAATATTTTCCTTTCTAAGCCTATGTATATAAAAGCTTTAAAATATTAAATGAACATCAATAGAAATTTAACATATTTTAAATATTATTTTTATACTCTGCTTCAAATTAGATCTCTTTCTGATTCACTCTACATGTCAGCCATGTGAATGTTAAGAAACCAAAACCCAAAATAAAAAAGTTGTCATCTGTGCCGGGGTTGCGAGCATCACATCACATCCAGCCTACAAAACAAAAGATGAGCTTAGGACCCTCTACAAGTTGCTGTTAAGAAAGCCACACACAAACAACAGGAAGAGAACTTGACCAAAGGGTCAACTATTGATGCCTGGTAGGCTCTCGATATCACCACCATGACCTCAGTCAACCAACCCAAAGCACATATCCACTTGAGACCAACCTTCTTCCAAATTGCCACACCTCAACCACATAGAGACATTCCACTCACATCCTCAGTATCAGGAAAGTCAGACTCATGGCAAACAGCAGGCTTCCATTACAGGCCCCTCTCAATCTCACCACCATTACTGCAGTCTCTAATACATACATTCCACTCACATATCAGCAATATAAAAGAATTTTATATTTACAATTCTTGTCTTCTTTTCCTTTCGTCTCACTGAGGGTACTGTTGTTTTGTTTGTTCTTCCATGCTACCATACACATGTTTATAACATTACTTTTCTTCATTTGATGCTGTATGTGAGTTTGCCTTCATTTGTGTTGTGTTTGTGTGCATTTTTTTATGTTTGTCTGTGATGGTGTATCTGGGGACTGCTGTTCAATTTTATTGTGCATTGCATAGTTACAAAAAGAAAGAATAAGTAAAATAAAATTAGTATATGTCATGTTGTAATGAGTAAAATTTTAATAATTATTATAAGTAAAAGAGTTCCACAAAAGACTAGTTGTGTTTGCATAAAAGATGATAAAGTCTCCTTAAAATCCATAAATGAGAAAATCTCCTTTGTAAAAAACGAGTCAGTTGCTTGACAATGTTTAAAGTTTGAGACAAAAGGATGGTTATTCTCTTGACAACATTATAACTACATATGCTATTGACTTCCTTGGCAATGTTTATTTACAAGATTATAAAAATATATGAACCAAGTACAATGTGATATTTATTATTTTACTTTTCATAAAGATTTATTATTTACCATTTTATAAAGAATTAAATTTGAAAAGAAATCTTTTTATTCAAAAATTGATAAAAAATTACAAAATTTATCAAAATATGTAAACCAACTTAAATGTAATATTTATTATTTATAATTTTATAAACAACTATAGAACAAGTAAATTTGAATAAACATATGACAAACATAATTTAAAAGAATGTTTTGTTCAGTGGAAATGATGCTCTTAAACTATTTTAGGGAATTTATGTGGTGAAAGCAAAGGATAGAAGTGTCTGGAAAATGTATTTTTTCAAAATTTTTATTTACAGTTACTCATCGTTATTTAAATTTTCTTGTTCCCACACATTTTATAAATTTATGAATAAAAATATTTCTTTTCATATTTATTTCTTTATAAATTGGTAAATGATAAATATTTCATTATAATTGGTTCACATATTTTTATAATCTTGTAAATATAAAATTATTCTTGTAAATAAACAATCTCATAAATAAATAGGATTTAATATCTTTTAAAGAAAATGTATAAATCCACTTTCATATGTTTGGGTTTTATTAAATTCTAAATGCTTTTTAAAACAATGAACATTGCTGAGGGAGTCTACAGTGTATATAGTAATAACAGTGTCAAGAGAATAACCATACTTTTGACACAAAATTTTTTTAGGCAAAGTACAAAGGTTAAACATTATTCTCATCCTTTTTTAATGTGAAATCAATATTGGCTAAGTTCAGTAAATATGACTGTACAATCATTTTACTTACAACTTGTAACTTTCACAATACTTATAGTATATTGCAGTGATAGAGAAATAAATAAATAACAAAAGAAAACAAAATTTCACCATTTCTAAAAATAGATGAATAATAAAAATTGCCAAGGAAACGAAGCCATAATTTGACCAACCAACCAGGAAGCTTTCATGACAAGGATGTAAGAAAAAATATTAACAAGGAGATCTAAATTCTACCCACTTATGGCAGTTAGTAAGTTGTTGATGAATTGTTTATATCAGTATATGTGATTTGGATGTATATTGACCTTGTATAATGATTAAAAGATAATGTACAGAATGTTGATAAGTACAAAATAAATTTTTATATATCACAATATAATAATACAGAAGGATAAGGTAAAAGTTGAATTTTCAGGAGTTCAAGTGTAAAAGTCTGGGTTCATATGAGAGACAGAAAGAAAGATAGAGGAATTTTATATATATATATATATATATATATATATATTCAAATCAAAATATAACCTGCCAAAACCATGTGGTGAAAGAAGGAATATTTTTTTTTCAATGTATTGAATGGGTTAACTGTCTAAGGACACTAGCTAATTGTACAAATATCATATTTCATCCCTGGGTATGTTACAATGACCACAGAATCAGAGAATGGATTAATTTATTAACTGATTTGCTTGATTTTCCATCTGTTTATATACACATCTATAGACTGCTTTTTCAGAAAATATTATCACTTCTCATTGGCTCATTTGCCTATATCCTTGTAAATTTTTGCAGATTTTGATTGTTTAAACTATATATTTTTAGAAATAGTAAAATTTTAGTCTCCTTGTTATTTGTTTATTTTTCTTGCATCCTGGTTGTGAAAACTTTCTGATTGGCCAAACTATTTTGCTTTAAAATGCCTACAATATTTGTATTATCCATCTATTTTTTAGAGGTGATAAATTTTGAAAAATGTTTTTTTTTATTTATTTATTTCTCTAAACCACAATATCATAGACATTCTGACTTTACAAATTCATCATGCTAAGTGAGATCAATTTTTTTTGTATTAAAATATTTTCACAAGTCAGAAAAATGGAAGGTGTTAGTCTCTTCAATATTTTGCCATTAATTTAGTCACATTTCCTAACTCAATCATTTTTATTATTTCTTTTTCTTCTATTCCCTTTATTCCGAACCTTTGATGAAATAATACCACAAAAGTCACATTCATTCTATGAAAACCCTAATTAAACTCATGTTTACAGTATCATGTGAGGAAGTTTATTAAAAAGGTCATATCTTACAATTTAATATTTAATATATTTATATTAATTTATATTTAATATATTTTTATATTTCACTTTGCCAATTTATATACCTTTTATTACTTTAAAAAATATTATTACAATACTTAAGTAAAGAAGATAAAATAGGATTAAATCATACAGCTTTATAAGAATTAAATATGGCTTCAGTACTTAATAGGATTTTTTCTAGAAATCTAAAATCATTAAAGTATATATATTATTTCAGACTATAATTACCAGCAATACATTTTATAGTAAATTGACCAAAAATAAATTTTATAGTAGAATTACCAACAACACATTTTGTAATAAAATTATTCTAAAATGACCAACAATACATTTTTAATAGTAAAATTAAAAATATGGCAAACATTGTTCACATTTCAGCCGTTCAATGTCCTTCTTCAAGTAAAAAATTGATCCAGGTAATCTT